TTTGGGATAAATGTTTTTTAGATAGGTGAAATATTTTAAAATGTCAAGGCATGTCAGACTACCCCGAAAGTGGAAAAGAGGCCTCAGACCTCAGGGGGTTAAGACTTGGTCTCAGCTCCTAAATTATTTAAGAGAGCTGGAGAGGACTCCTAAGCCAGTTAGGAGTTGAATGATGGCAGCCAGACGGAGACCGCGCACTTTCCGTCAAAGAAAGGACGTCCTTCAGACGTACGACAATAATGAATTGATAAAAAGGTACAGGCTCGATCATGAGGGCATTCTTTTTGTTACCAACCTAATTAGGAACCATATACAGTCTCCTACGTCATCTAAAAATGCACTTACAGTTGAACTGAAGGTGATAATGATGTTACGTTTTTGGCAACTGGAAAAATATAATAATAATAATTATTATTATTATCATCATCACCACCTATTATAGCGAGGGTCATAAGAGCAATATACAGTAAAACCGGTCTAAGTCGACTCTCGCGGGACCAGCTTATAAGTGACGACTTAGAGAATTGACGTGATACACCTAAGTCGACACTTTGGCGACTTATGTCTACCTCGTAGTTTTGTCGACTAGTAAATATAACTCGCCGTTTTGCCAACTTATAAAGTCGAAACTTCAGCGACTTATGTCTATCTCGCCGTTTTGCCGACTAGTAAATATAACACCATATACCTCTACTCATCACGGTAGAGACCTGCGCGGGACGGATTTTTCAGTCCCGCTCCCGCAAGATTCTGTCCCCCTCCCGCCTGCAAAATACCGCAGGTAAACATATAAGTAGTTTTATTTTTACCGCTTCTTCCCGCTACTCTGTTATTTGTTTCACTTGCTTCCCTTTTGAGTATATATAAAAAAGAAACGGAAAATAAACAAATATGTTTCGTTTTATTTTAGTTTAATTAAATGGAATGATGAACATGGACATGAACGAGGAGCTTTTCAGAACATGCCATCCCATCCAAGCACCAGGCTGATTACTTCTTGGGGTGTCCGGTTACGTCCCCCGGCACTCAGAGCGCGGCAATTGTAGTTTCTGTAGACGATTCGCCTGTAAATTGTTATTATTTTAATTTAGTCGTTCTTGTTGCTTTTGTTCAGTAGATAAATGAGTATTTGTTTTTAATAAATTAATTTTAAGATAATTACATTTTGCGGGAGTCCCGCGATTAATTCTATTCTCCCACAACCCGCACATACATGAGGACCTTACCGCCCGCACCCGCATTCACCCATCAAATCTTGTCCCGCGCCGCACTCGGTTTCTACATTGCCGTGGTGACAAGCAGACGGCGGGAATGCAGCGATTGGGGTGTCAACTTACAGGTAGGAAAATCCATTCATTTGTGTTGTTTGGGACCGGGATTTAGGTGACAACTAAGGGAATTTGACGACTTACAAGCGGTGACTTACACAAGGAATTTTAAAGGAAACATCATTGGGAAAAATCGGGACTTTTGCTTGAGCGTCGACTTGTGCACATTGACGAGTTACAAGCCGGCGACTTAGACCAGTTTTACCATAAGTAATGACACAAACCTGTAGCTTGCATGCTTGCTTTGTAAACTGTGATTTCCTTTCGTGAGGTCGATAAAACATTATACCACCTTTTTTCACATTCCTCTGCTGAACGCCTTGTCCGAGGTGAGGCAGCATTTACGGAGCTTGCAATAGCCTCCTAAGCTTTTTTTTTGTCCGTGCTTGTAACAGCTGGGCCAAACTTTCCTCGCACTACCTCCTTCCATTTAAGCACCAACTGTGCCAAAAGAACCGTTTTGTTTGCCGTCCAGTTTGGTTTTCTTGTAGAATCCTATGAGTTCTGCGTTTGACCCATAATTTACACAACATGTGCATCTATTAGTGGAAATTGATTGGTGATGTGCTAGATAGATTTTCGTACAACAAATTAAAGGTACGATCACAGAAAGGTATGTTGTATAAAGCTCTACCTTAACGGTTTAATGTCACTAATATATTCACCATGCAGCTCCTCTATTGGTTGAACTCAGTATTTGGGGTGGGATTTTATTTGTAGTCCTCATTTCACGACACTTAAGTGCTGGCTCTGTCAGCACTTAGGAATTGGGCTTAGACTTTGCTGAAAGTTACTTTTAGCAGCTTTATACAATGCTCTTAGGTCCTACTTTTTGCTAAGATTTTTTTAACTCTTAAGTCAAAGTGTACGACCATTCTTAGGAAGTTTTATGCATACCGGCTCTGGATTTTTGGGTGTGAGGATTCCTAAGAAAAGTGCCCTTTGCTCCCACTGAGTTCTCTATTGGTCATGTAAATGCAGAGCTTTCTGTGAAGTAAAGAGGATGAGGAAGCTGGCGGTGGGACGATCTGCTCGGCAGGGCTCTCTGCCAGGGCTCCACACTGCATTAAAGCCGTTAATTCGGCCTCTGCTGTGACAGCGGGTCATCTCCTTCACGCCAGGGGCATCTGATAACATCTGCTGCTGGGCTGTCTGCTGCTCTCTCCAGCCAAGCAAGCCCGTACTGCCCCCGGCTCTGATGTTTGAGAGCCTGTAAAGATAGCTGGATCCTGAATTGCCCTTTGCATAGCTCTTTGCTCTGGGGTGGTTATCGTTTTGTCATATGCCTCATTTAAACCCTGATTTCAATTTTTTTCCTCCCTTGACACTGTAAGGCAAATTGGTGTCAATACCCTAACATGCCAGTAAGCCAGGGAATGCAAAACATTGCACTCCATAAGCAGATAAACAGGACATTGGATTTTACACTGCCTATTCACCAAATGTTATTTTTGATCCTATAGCACATGAACAGACATTTATGGATGTATCTTACTCATGTTCCATGCGGCTGATCATTTTCTTTAGCAGGAGTGGCTTTTGTAATGAACAGAATAGCTATTTTTATCTTTTAGCAAGAGTTTTGGAATGATCACTGTGATGTCAGCAAATACCATGTAAAATTGTTAGCAATTGAAAGGGTTCATTGGTGTATTAATAATGAGATAAGCAAACTCCACTTTGACTCTGCTGACCTATTTTCAGTAACTCGAGCCTGTTATGGCATATGTAGTCAGTCGTGCCACACCCGTTTTTGCTAAATTATACAGAGCAGAGCTACACCTATTTACAGCTAGCTAACGTGTGGCTCAGTGGGTTAAGACTGTGTGTTTGTAATCAGAAGGTCCTTGGTTCAAACCCAGCCTCAGCATGTATGCGGGTCCTTGAGCA